GAAGAGGGTCAGAGGGAGAAGCAGACTCCCTGCTGAGCAGGGAGCCCGATGTGGGACTCGATCCCGGGACTCCAGGATCATGACCTGAGCCGAAGGCAGTCGCTTAACCAACTGAGCCACCCAGGCGCCGTCTGATAAAAGTATGACCGCTCTGGCTTTCTTTTGACCTCCATTAGCATGATAAATGGTTCACTTTCAATCTACAGGTTTCTTTAGGTTCAAAACAGGTCTTTTGTAAACAGCATATAGATGGATCTTGGTTTTTTTTTTTTTTTTATCCATTCTAATACCCTGTTTTTTGATTGGAACATTTAGTCCATTTACATTCAGAGCAACTATTGAAAGATATGAATTTAGTGCCATTGTGTTACCTGTGGAGTTGGGGTTTCTGGTGGTGTTCTCTGGTCCTTTCTAGTTTTTGTTGCTTTTGGTCTTTTTTTCTCCACTCAGAGTCCCCCTCAAAATTTCTTGCAGGGTGGTTTAGTGGTCATGAACTCCTTTAGTTTTTGTTTGTTTGGGAAACTCTTTATGTTTCCTTCTATTCTGAATGACAGCCTTGCTGGATAAAGAATTCTTGGCTGCATATTTTTCCCATTCAGCACTTTGAATATATCCTACCAGTCTCTTCTGACCTGACAAGTTTCTGTGGACAGATCTGCTGTGAACTTGATCTGTCTTCCCTTGTAGGTTAAGGACTTTTTCCCTTAAAGTCCTTTCCTTAAAGCTGCTTTCAGGATTCTTCCCTTTTCTGTGTATATTGTGAATTTGACTATGATATGCCTTGGTTGTCACCAAGCTTTTGTTGACTTTTTAAAAAAATTTTATTATGTTATCTTAATCACCATACATTACATCATTAGTTTTTGATGTAGTGTTCCATGATTCATTGTGTATAACACCCAGTGCTCCATTCAATACGTGCCCTCTTTAATACCCATCACCAGGCTAACCCATCCTCCCACCCCCCTCCCCTCTAGAACCCTCAGTTTTTTTTTCAGAGTCCATAGTCTCTCATGGTTCGTCTCCCCCTCCGATTTCCCCTGCTTCATTTTACCCTTCCTACTTTCTTCTTCTTCTTCTTCTTCTTCTTTTTAACATACAGTGTATCATTTGTTTCAGAGGTACAGGTCTGTGATTCAACAGTCTTACACAATTCACAGCACTCACCATAGCACATACCCTCCCCAATGTCTATCACCCAGCCACCCCATCCCTCCCACCCCCACCACTCCAGCAACCCTCAGTTTGTTTCCTGAGATTAAGAATTCCTCATATCAGTGAGATCATATGATACAGGTCTTGCTCAGCATAATACCTTCCAGTTCCATCATGTTGTTGCAAATGGCAAGATTTCATTCCTTTTGATGGCTGCATAATATTCCATTGTATATATATATATATATCACATCTTCTTTATCCATTCATCTGTCAATGAACATCTTGGCTCTTTCCATAGTTTGGCTATTGTGGACATTGCTGCTATAAACATCGGGGTGCATGTACCTCTTCGGATTACTACATTTGTATCTTTGGGGTAAGCTTTTGTTGAATTTAATGGGAGTTCTCTGTGTTTCTTGGATTTTGATGTCTGTGTCCTTCCCTAGATTAGGGAAGTTTTCAGCTATAATTTGTTAGAATAAACTTTCTGCCCCTTTTTCTCTCTCTCCATCTTCTGCAACTCCTATGATACGAATGTTATTACGTTTTAATGAGTCGCTGAGTTCCCTAAGTCTGCCTTCGTGGTCCATTACTTTTGTTTCCCTCTTCTTTTCAGCTTCATTATTTTCCATAATTTCATCTTCTATATCACTGATTCGTTCTTCTGTTTCATCCATCCTCATTATTATGGTATCCATTTGGGTTTGCATCTTGGTTATAGCATTTTTAACTTCAGCCTGACGAGATTTTAGTCCTTTATCTCTGCAGTAGGGATTCTCTAGTCTTTTATGCTTTTTTCAAGCCCAGCTAGTATCCTTACAATCATTGTTTTAAATTCTGGTTCAGACATCTTACTTATATCTGCATTAAATCCCTGGCCATGAGTACTACTTCCTGTTCTTTTTCTGGGGGGTGAATTTCTCCATCTTGTCATTTTGTCCAGAAAAGAAAAGAAGAAAGAAAGAAAGAAAAAAACCCAACAAAACAAAAAAGCAAAAAAACCCCTAGGTCCTATGTGTGTTTTGGTCTGCTTGTTAAAAGAATCTAGATCCAAAAATAAAATAAAATAAAATAAAATAAATATATAACAATAAAAATTTTAAAAATAATATTAAAAGTTTAAAAAGAAATTAAAAATGAGAAAATAAATGAAAAAATAATAATTAAAAACGAATAAAAGTAAAAAGGAAGCTAAATCCCCTTTCCCCTAGAGCTGAAGCTTTCCAGCCCTCTATGATCAGTAGACTTGGTGCCAGCAAGTTGTTTGTACCCGTCTTTTGGGGGAGGGGCCTGTTGTACTGATTCTCAGGCTTGTTTCAATGGAAATGCGACTCCAGAGCTCAGGGCTCAGTGTAAACAGTTCCAGTCTCCACTAGGTGGCGCTGTTTTGCTCCCTGAAGGCTTTCAGCGCTCAGGGAGGGATGGGATAAATATGGCCGCCCAGCTATCCAGTGCCGGAGATGAAAGTTTGCACCCCCATCCTTCAGGGTCCCTCATAGAAGAGCAATCAATCACTCTTGTGATTCCATGTTTATCCTTTCTCTGTGTCCTTTTGTTTTTCCTATGCTTTACATAATATATATTTGGAAAATCTCTTCTGTAGTCTGATCATGTTTTTTTCATCAATGGGTCTTAGTCTGCTTATATTTTCACTAATCCCTGATACATTTGGAATTATTCCTATGACTTTCTTTTGTGTTTTCTGTTGGTGCTGCCTTTTTCCCTCCTTCCTTGTTTTGCATTTGAGTGAAGTGTCTTTTTTTCCAATTTGTGTCTTTAATCTCCTTATTTTTTAGTGGTTACCTTTGACATTTTTACACGCATAGCTAACACATTCTAAAGTTGAACAAGATATTTAGGCTTTCCTGAATAATATAGGACACTAACAGGCCTCAATTTTATTCTCTCTGCCCCCACCTCAGCTTACGTGTTATTATTTTACCGAATTTTAATTCTACAGAAGCAAAGTAGTTTAAGCTGTGGATTCTGGGGACACAGGGTCTGGTTTGGGCCCTCGATCGTTAACTTACCAGCTGTGGCACTTTAGACGAGTGACTTAACCTCTCTGTGTTTCCGTGACTTCAACAGTAAGAGGGGGATAAAATCATACCTACTTCTTAGGGTTGTTGAGAAAATTCCATTCTCAGAGCTCTATCAAGCTCTGAGAATGTGCTTGGCACATAGTAAATCTTCAAAGATGGTTAGAGATCATCGTCATTATTTTACCCCATAAATTAAAATCCATGTATATTATGTACAATTTAAGTATATGCATATGTATTGATGTAAATATACATCAATGTATGGCCACTTCTAAGATTTCTTTGGTTCTGGTATTTCAAGTTTTACTTGGATGTACCTAGCTAAAGAATTCTTTTTATGTATGCTGATTGGGAAACTGATTCTTGAGTCTGAGAGTTCATATATTGCACTAATTCTGGAAAAATTCCCACTATGATTATCTTTTCAAATGCTACCTCTCTGGTTTCTCCAGTCTCACCTTCAGAACTCCACTTACACATATATCAGAACTTCATCTTAGCGTTTTCATATTTTCCACATCTTTTTCCATCCTGTATGCTGCATTCTAGTTAATGTCCTCTTTTTTTCTTTAGCAGACTCCACGCCCAGTGTGTAGCCCAATGCAGGCCTTGAACTCATGACCCTGAGCTGAGATCAATAGTTGGATGCTTAACCAACTGAGCCACCCAGGTGCCCCCCTTAGCTTCTTTAGCTATATCTTCCAGTTGACCATTTTTTTCTTAGCTGCATCTCATCTGCTATTTTCCTTATCCCCTGAATTTGCTTTTAAACACTCTGATGCCAATTTTCAAACTTAAAAGAAGAGAGAATAATTTAATGACTATTATGTTGCACTTGTAACCCAGCTTCAGCAATTAATCCATGGCCAATCTCGTTTCATCTTTTCTCCCACCCATCCATCTGCCCACCCTGCATTATTTCAAAGCAAATCCCAGACATCTTATCATCCATTGAATTTATTTTTCAATTATAAGTTTTGTTTCTAAAATCCCATTTGCTTCTTTTACTAATCTGTTCTTTCTGGGTAATTTCTTATTCTTTACTGATACTTTTATTCTCCCTTTCATGATTTCAAACATTAAATACACTTATTTTATATTCTGTAACTGATCATTTGAATCCTTGCTATCGTTTGGGATTTGGTCCTCTGATGTTTCTGCTGACTCTTGATCCTGATAACTTATTTTTGTGTGTGTGTATTTTAACTGTCCACATAGAAATACATTTTCTTTTAATTTAAATTTTAGTTAACATACAATGCAATATAGAAATAAATTTTTTAAAGATTTTATTTATTTATTTGAGAGAGAGAGAGACAGAGATAGCGAGAGAGCACAAGCGGGGAGGAGAGGGAGAAGCAGGCTCCCCACTGAGCAGGGAGCCCAATGCAGGGCTCAATTCCAGGACCCTGAGATCATGACCCGAGCCGAAGGCAGACTCTTAACCGACTGAGCCACCCAGGTGCCACTAGAAATAAATTTTCTGAAAACACAGATATTAATTGTCCCATGCCACATGGTCCAACCAATTTCCAATAATGTAATCTTCCCAGTCTTGCAAGAAAATTTTATTCCTTTGAATAGATAAAGAGACCAAAGCTCTGAGAGGTTAAATACTTGTCTGAGGCCACACTGTTCATAAATGCCAGAGTTGGTGTTTGAACCCAGGCCCGCCTCTCCACATCCCTGCCCTCCCACAGTCCACCATCCATAGGGAAACTGACACCCAGAAATGAATTCTTGAGTGCGTGACCTCCGTTGACTTGGGGCTTCTGGGGGTTTCTTCATGGGGTTCCACAGGGGCCCCCGAGGAGACGAAGAGCCTCATGAAGGCCTCCTACACCCCAGAGGTGATTGAGAAATCAGTGAGGGACTTAGAACACTGGCATGGCAGGAAGACGGACGATCTGGGTACGCGGGGGTGCTGGGCTGTGGGAGGTGGGCGCTCCCCTACCCGGGCAGGGTGTGTTGGCCCCAAGGTGCAGAGGGAGACCAGAGCAGCAAGTAGAGCTCTGGGGTGGGCCTGGGAGAGGCATGGATCACCACTGGGGCCCAGGCACTCCAGAAGTCCTCTGGGTGATCTGGGCTGGCTCCTTCCCTGCTCTCTACAGGACGGTGGCACCAGAAAAATGTGATGAATATGAACTTACAGAAAGCATTGGATGAGAGATTCGGAGAAAAGAGCAAAAACAAGAGCTCAAAGTATTAGATACGACTGGGAAGAGTTGCCCTCCACTCAGAGAAAGCGCTAACAATAAAGAGAAACACATCTGAATGTTCTCCTCTTCTTGTTGCTTCCCTTCACGTTGGGGTGGGGGCGGATGTGTGGTACTGGAAAGACCAACTGGGGGAGGAGAGAAGCCCCAAGAGCCCAAACTCTCCCCAGACCTTCCCCCTAGACATACACCCCTTCCCGCAAAATTCTAGGACAGGATGTGGGAGCTGAGCGCTGCTTGGCTTCTACCTCATGTCCTGTGGGAGAGGCCTCACAGTGGCCACTGCAGGAGCTTACATTGCATGCCCACCGTAGCTGAACCCCGATTATTTCCAGACATCATTCCTCCCCCAGGAGCCCATGGACTTCAGAGGAATCAGTCATTCCCCCCCCGCCCCGCCGCCCCCATGCAGGGGTGGGTTTGATTGGTCTCAGGGTAATTCTCGCCTCTCTCCCTGCGCATACAAACTGATTGGTTCAGAAATGGGCGTATGACTCAATATGGGCCAATGAGATACAAGGAGAGGTGCGGGTGTGTGGAGCCTTCTGGGAAATTCTTTTGTCCGCTGGGAGAGCTGGGAAGCATCCCTCTCTCCTGTTGTGTTGAGTGAGGAATGATGCAGTGCAGACCACTCCTGGCGGAAAATCTGGGACCGGAGGAATCGCAGACGCTGGGGCACAATCTGGATTTTCCTTGACCTCACTGAGCTGCTCCATCCACCTGGCCAGAAGCCACCACTTCTGGACTTCTTATAAGGCAAGCCTGGGCAACTTTTCATCGTTTAAGACAAAGTCATCATTAGCCAGTCAGGGTCTCTGGTAACAACAGGGGAGGGACCTGGGGATTGGGTTCCCAGGGAAGAGTCCTCCAGGGAAGGGGTTCCAATTTAGACCGTCATGTCTACCTGCTGATCCCAAAGGGCTTTACCTGGTGGGTCTCCAAGCCAGCAGGAGTGTCACTGACATGCATCCTTAAAACATGTCCCACTCATGGGTTGTTATTTCCTGTGTTCCAAACCACCCTCAAACCAAGAGCCTTAAAATGACAACGATTATTTATTTGCTTGTGATTATGCAATTTGGCTCAGTGTGACTCATTTCTGCTCCATGTAGCGTCTGTTGTGAGGATGACAGCCATTCTCACATGCCCGGTACCTGGTGGGGATGAGAGCCATAGCTGGTGGCTGCCTGGGCATCACTCTCTCCCCATGGGGCCTTCCCTTGTGACTAGCTGGGGCTTCTTCTTGACATGGTGAAGGCATTCCAAGAAGCAGCTTTCCAAAGGGACAAGACTCTAATGTGTAAGAGCTTATCACACCTTGCACTGGCTTGTTAATGTCCCTGTGGTCAAAGGGACATAGGGTCCAGCCCAGACTCGTACTAAGAGACTGCACAAGAGTATTAGCATAGGCAGGACAAGTTCAGGTTCAATAACAGTCTACCACAGTGATCACCATGCTTTGGAAAAATTGAAAGCAGATGGCTGTCAGGAGAAGGGGAACCACAAAAGGGAAAGACTTCTTTAAGATAGGATTGGAGCAGCATGCAGCAGAAGGAAGTGAGCTTGGTTTGATTTAATATTGATTGGGTACCTAATTATGTGCGAGGTGCTGAGTTCAGCTCAACTTCTTTACTGAGTATGTAATATCTACAAGGCACTGTTCTCGTGCTGGAAAACCAGACTTCATTTTTATTAAGTAGCTACTATCCGCTCATCACAACTTACAGCTGAAAAAACACACCATCCTCGGTGTTGTAAAAATAGCAGACTTCATGCTATTCTGACCTAGAAATTATAACATGCCTGATGCATATGATTGTATGTCCAATGCTTTACACACACAACCTTCTTTCATCCTGACACCAGTCCTCAGAGCTAGAATCTTTATGAAGGTGGGAAATCCAAGGCTTGGAGAAACCAAGTAAATTGCCCAAACTCATGCCACTAGGAAGCTGGGATCGGAAGTCCAGAAATTTCTGACCAAAGCCATTTTCTACTCTACCAGACAATCGTACTGTCATGTCAGCAAATATATACTGAGCGCCGCAAACACTCAGCCCTGTTAGGCACCGTGAGGGACAGTGATGTGAATCCAATACGGTCCTTGTCCTCAAGGATGTTCTGGTCTGCAGAGGACTGATGTGGAAAAGGCTGGCCTTGGGGCTCATCCATCCATCTGACCAACAGGTAATGTGCATCTACCCTCTGACCAGCACTGTCCAATGAACGGTGAGTTGAGAGGTAAATAAGACATGGCGCCTGTCCTTAAGGAGCCCAGAGTCTGGTGGAGAGACAGATATATCAGTGCATGGATGCTCAGAAGTTTTGCAGATGCAACGAGAAGTTCATCCAAGGCAGAGGAAGTACAAAGGAGAACTTGGGATGGGCTGGGGCTGGTGGTCACAGAGGCGTTCACAGAGGAGGTAGCTCGAGTCTTGGCACATGAATAGGTAACTCAGGTGGATTGGAAGAGACACAGTATTCGAGACAGAAGACACAATGTGAATAAAAAGCCAGTACGGTGTTCTTGGCCACCCATACAGACCAGGGGTCTTATTAAGCTTGGAGGGTAGGGCTCCCAAGTTGGGGCACAGAGATCAGGTGGGAAAGACAGATGGAAAAATCTGCACCTGGATGGGGCTGTGCCCCGGGAGAGCCTTACATGTGAGATCCAGCCCCTTCCTCCAGAAGCTTATAACCTAGCCAGAACAGAGGGTTCATAAGGACTGAAGAAGCCAAACAGAAGAGTTGAGAAGATGCTCAGCATCCCCAATGATCAGAGAGACATAAACTAAAACAAAGTCCTTGGGTTGGCAAACATTCAACAGTAAGTGTAGGTGAGGTGGAAAGTGGGACCTCTCATACAATCCATGAATTGTGAATGCACAACAGCAAGGAAGAATTAAGCAAAATTGAAGTCTTATAACCTAGAAACTCCACTCTCTGTAGCCTGGAGAAACTCTCATATGATCACGAGGAGCCCCACACAAAGACACTCACCGCCGTGCTGTGTGCACGTACATGTCTGCCAGCAGGAAAATGGACAAACGGGTAATCTACAGCAGGGGAAAGCAATGACCCAGGTCGCCAGATGGCAGCATAGAAAGACCTCACGATACATCGCAGTGGGTTCTGGAAAGGACAATCTGCAGAACAAGCCTTACTGTATGAAACGGCACCATTTGTGCAACGTTCAAAAGGCACACACAGAGCCCCTCATTGCTCATGGAAGCAGTGATGAGTAGCAGAGGTGGGTTGGAAGGAGGCAGACATTCAGCTTCACATTGTATTTATTTAGCTCTTTTCAGATGCTTTGCTTTCTGCAATTGCCAGAGAGTTGCCAAAAGGGGAGCTGATTTAGCATCAAGCCAGCGATTTCAATTTTGACATAAGCGAGCAAATATAACAGGTGTCATGACTTTACCTCAGCTTAAGATTTGACCCCCGAACATTAAGATGAACTCTTTTAGGTTAATTATTGAATATTCAAGAGAGAGAGAGAAGCCATAATACAGGCAACATAAAACATGCATAGATTCTTTTTAAATAAATCCTTTATCCCATTGGTGCTGTTTCCAACACTGTTCCTTGTTCTTCGTGCTCCTGAAGTCCCTAGATGGTGAAATTCACAGTGATTCTTAAGGTTTCAAGGAGGTACAGGGACCAGGTCTTAAGTAGCATTAATTCACGTAGTGGAAAAGTTATCCATCCTTTAATCCATGCCATCCCATTTGCTCAGAGTGACTCAGAACCATCTTCTTAATTTCTCTTATACCCAAATACAACCTGAGAGGGAACCTAAAAAAAGCAACCTCTGATGCTCTTCGGGAGAGCCAGCCCACCTGCCTCACTTGGCTATTATCTTGGTCCAGCTTGCCCCCTGGTGGCAGTGTCTCTAAATTGCAGGCTGAGTATGTAGGGTTCATAAATCCAGGATGTACACGTTAAGGAGGGGACCTAGAGAGCATTAGGTTACATCTTTCTAACCATGCCTTTTCTGCCATCCACCCCTAGCCCCACTTACAGATGAGGAAACTGAGGCCCAGTTGAAGGAATTTATGTCTAATCTGGAAGTGAACAGCCATGTGGCCAGATTTGCAAATCCAAACCGTCCGCAGTGCTGTGGGGTGGCAGGCAGAGCCTTCTCCTGTTCTCCCTCCAGGAATCACGGCCTCTGAGCTGCAGCAAAAGCAAGGGAAAATCCAAATGCAGCTTTGTAGTCTAGAGGCAACGAGGGACTTTATAGCTATAGGGGATTCTCACACTGGGCTTGGGTCCCTGGGAAGAGCACCTGACTTGTCAGAGCCTGGTGCTCATGTCTGGCAGAGGTCTTCATCAGGATTACCTGAGAAAGTGCATGGCCAGGGCCTGGCATAGTGCAGAGCCCTCTTACAGGTGGAATGAACGCTTGGTCTTTCCTTTCCTTTCCTTCAGGTCCAGGCTGCAGAGAACACTGCAACATGCTAATAGGTGTTCTGTAAAAATTGTCCCATTGTCAAGTGAATTTGGGTGACGCTGGTTTAAATAACACTAAACAGACTTTTTTTGTGCAAGATTTCTTGGAACTGGGAATATGCTAAAATTCCTTGTGTCACTCCATATTCTTGCACGTAGGATTCCGTTTCCCATTGTGCCTGTGCCTGTGCCAGAGTGAGCTGCTAATATCTGCAACAAGAATAATGATTTTATTAAAATTGCAGGTTCAGAAGCCTGGGAAGTCAGGCCAGGAAGAGTAACCCTGTTTTTTGGGGGGGGGTGGTAAATGGGTTGATTTACCAACCTGAACCAAGCAGTGTTTTTAACCTGAACCAAGATGCTCATTATCAAGGTTTCTGCAGAACTATGGCTGTCAAAGGGCCTGGGCACCCCTTCCCTCTGGCCAACCCTGCAGGTAGCCCACCTGGGGAGCAGATAAGTAATCAGAGAAGGCATGAGCCTGTCCTTGGGACAGCGGGCTGAGTTTTATGACTGGTATTGCACCAGGCAGGCTGAGGGAGGGCTAGCCCAGCCTCCTGCTCACTATCTTGTGCTGCTAG